GGGATATGACAATCTTGGTGACGGGTCCTGGAACAGACTTATGGACTAACCACCGTTGTCCACCACCTTGCCTCTTTCATCTTCTGTTCCTCAGACAGAAGCCCAAGCTGCTGATTCCCAAACCACACAATTATAGTAGCAAATAAGGTCTTTTTTTTCTATTTTGTAAATTATGAAACGTAATCTAAATGTGTAAAAATAGGATGGTGAGGGCTATAACAAATACCCATTGTGTTAAACTTCCTTGCTGTTAGCCAAATATTTCCAATTCTTTCTACTTCTGAACTCATGGTAAAAGTATACTTCTAGATGCCCTTAAGCAAGGTAGACCACATGACTACTTGGGGCAATTAGTTGAGAGAGGAGGTGACTTGTGCCACTTCTAGGCTGGAGCCTGTAATTTCTCTTTCCCTCTGGCATAGCCAGCAGCACAGAGGTGGTGGCTGCTCTCTCAGCCTTGGTCCCTGAGTGACAACAAGAAGCAAAGCCCCTCTGCTGACCCACCACTTATGACTAAAAAAACCAAACTTTTGTTTGAAGTCACTGAGATTCATGGTGTTGGTTACTGCAACAAAACCTAACCTGTTCTGACCTTTACATTCATATTCCCACCACCCTGACTTTTAAGGTTAACATTTCCTTATACCTGCTTCAGCTTTTTAAAGAAACACACTTTACCAAAAACAACTGAGACCCTTTGTAGCTCCCCTCTTTCCTTTTTCTCCAGAATGACTAACACCCCAAAGATGAGATGCCTCTGTCCTGTCCATATTTAGTTATAAGTATATGTCCAAAATAATACATAGTGTCATTTCATGTTTCTAAAATTGGCATGAGTGATATAATATTGATTCATTCTGCAAATTGTTTTTCTCATCAATATTGTTTTTGGTGTAATGATATTGTTACATTAGTTTTAGTTTATTCATATTAACTTATATGTCATATACTTTTTAATGAAGGTGTCACAATTTATTAAGCATTTCTTTACCATTGGGTTTTTACATTTCTTTTCCCTCTTATAAACAATGATGAACTGAATATCCTTGTATAAAGCTGTTTGTGCACAGATTTTCCTCAGTTGTATACCTGTGAATGGGATTGCTGTGATATAAGGTCTGAGTATCTTCAAATTTAGTACATATTGCCAAATTTATCTCCAAAGAGGTTGAACCCATCTGCAGTCCTATCATTAGTGTGTTTGTGCTTTGCTATTGCTCCATATCTTCATATAAACATTTCATATTGTCAGACTTTACACATTTTCGCCATTCTGACAGGTATGAAATGGAATCTCTTAGTGTTAAAATTTGCATCTCATTGATTATTAGTGAAGTTGAGCAGCTTTCCATATGCCAAGGGTCATTTACTTTTCTGTGATTGGCATGCTCATATAGTCTGCCAATGTCTTTCTATTGCTTTTTCTTCTTATGGAGGCATAGAATCCCCTCTCCATGTATTCTGGGTATTAATCATTTGCCAGTTACATAACTTGTACTGCTTCTGTGACTTGCTTTTAACTTTGTTCATTGCTCTGTTCTCATTCACTTGCAAGCCACTGGCTGCTGGCTTTTGCACACACTTGATTTTCAGATCTCAGCAAGTACATGGTGAAAAGGGCTTGGGGGTATATTTTGAAAATCTGATGGGAATGTATGTTCCCTAACTCTATCTATAGTGGGCTAAGAAATGTGTTCTTACAAGAGACTCTGTGAAGCACCTATTTTGCTTACTCAAGGATCTCATTTGCTAATATAATTATGTGGTGAAAGCAACAGAACCAGGTGTAAGTGGAAAAAACCTTAGTCACTAAGGGTTGTTTGGGCTGCTCCCTGCTGAACATCAGGGGTGACTGGTTTCTCTCTGCCATGGTGGATTCTGGTGTGATGTGCCTGGCTGTTTTGACATTTGTAGACACAACATATGTGGGAGGACACCTGAGAGCAATTTTGTAATCCAATGGTCTCTTCTCTCCTTACACACACCTCAGAGAGTCTTCACAGGGTGTGATGATGGGAAGGCAGGGACATATTCACTGGAAGGTAGGAAAAAACAGTATCTTGAAAATGCTTTTAGGTTTCCAATGGGGAGAGTCACATAAAAGCTTTGTTTACTCTCAGTGCCTCAGCTAACCCCAAGAGAAAAACTTTAGCTTAGGACAGGAAGCTCAGAACACCCAAAAGGATGACTGTATGGCTTAGGACTATTTGTGTCTGCCTCTTACATTTCCCTCCATGGTATCCCCCAGAAGGCCGGGCTATGCTGATGCTCTCAGGGAGCCTATAGCTATCATTACTCCCTAGGAAATCAACAAGTCTGGCGGAAACTGAGCTCTGGGATCAATTATGCTGATAAAATTACAAAGGAAAGGGGTGAATCAGAAGTGTCATGGCTTAGGAACTACTTGCTAAAGAAATACTTGATGTTCTCAAGTGGAACCCAGTGGCCCCAGGGGAGGTGACCCTGGATGTCTGGTTGACCACCCAAAGCTGGGCCTGAGGAGTCAGGACACACCTTCTGTTCCAGTTGACTCCCTTGAATGGCACATTTTTTCTCACTCACGATCCTCTTCCCTTCAAAGAGAATTCATTAAACCCCACAATGCATGGGCACTGGGGCAGGTGTTGTACTGGCCCATTAGGTGGACACAGGCCACTACCCCAGGGAGCATGCCAAATGAGGTGGAGGATGGCAGCTGAGACCTGTTGACATCTCTCATGATTATTCTGAAGCACTTTCTATAAACCCTTCAGCCATTTCAGACTATTTGTGTGTGGTTCCAGCACATCCCCTTGCATTAGTTCACTCTGTTCCCTTTGCCTGGAATGCTTTTCCACATTGCTCAATACACTAAAATTCAAGCCCAGGCAGAACTGACCGTTCTGAATTCCATGTGTCCCCATAGCACTTTGTATCATTGTTGATACATTGAACAATATTGAACATACCACTTTTTATCAGAACCATATGCTTATGTGTTTATCTCCCCTAAGGGACTCTGGCTTACTCACCTTTGTGTCCCCAGAAAGAATTTAACACGTGCCCAGAAAATGTGTGCCCAAGTAATGCAGCAAGGGACACATTTATCTGATTATACCTTGTGGCATGACTAGATGCAGTCACATCTCTTTGAGTTTTTAGTTTCCTTCTCTATAAAATGGGAGGTGGGAGGACACATAAAAAAAAAGTGGTCTCTAAGAGTTATTCTGGCTGGCTCTGATGCCTATGATTTTAAACTACGGTCTTCCAGTAAAAAGCTAAGAGTTCCTCATAACTTTTTAAAAGACCAGGGTGATGTTTTTATTTACATGTATTAAAGGGCCTAGTATTTCCTTCCTACCTCTAGTGTGTCACCTTTTAAAAATGTTTTTATTGACTTTAGAGAGAGAGGAAAGTAGAGGGAGAGAAAGAGAGATAAAAACATCAATGATGAGAGAGAATCATTGACTGGCTTCCTCCTGCACACCTGCTACTGGAGATTGAGTCCACAACCCCAGCATGTGCCCTGACCCAAAATCGAACCATGACCTCCTGGTTCAAGGGTCAATGCTCAACCACTGAACCACACTGGCCGAGCTAGTCTGTCACCTTCAAAAAAGTGTATTATTTAGCATTTTGAAAATTCTCTGACTAAAGTTTCAAGAGGTTTATGGAATTCCTTCATTATAAGAAGTGTGTAAATTTTATCTTCCCTGGGGAATAAAATTGTTGAACTAATTGATTCTTTGAAAGGAATTGCTGACTGTATTTTCTGATGCCCTTGGCCAGTCTGAAAGTGTATAGAAGAGGGTCATTGTGTAGCTGTGTGTGTTACCCAGCATCTCTTCTCATTGACATGGGACGTCCCACATATACTGTGTCCAGTGGCACCTGTCCCATGAGTCCCATCCTTTTACATCACTGTTACATCACTGCCCCTGGAGTTACAGGTTTGGGATTTCCTGCCTGGGTATAATTGAGTTTCCCTCATATTCTGAGAACACTTTTACAAGATGTTAATAATGCATACCTGTGATCTTCATAACCAGCCTGTAAGGTGAGGAACAACAGAGGTTATGATTGACCTATTTTGAACACTGGACTAAGACTCAGAGAGGTGAAGTGACTTGCACAAGGCCACATGGCTAAGATCTTCGGAGACTAGAGAGCTCTATTTATTCTCCACTATTCTAAATTTCATTGATGCCTTTGAAAATGGTTCAGGTTGCTGCTTTATGGACTGGCTGATCTGAAGCCTATTATCTGGTGAAACCAGAGGCAGGCAAATTTTATAAGAAAGATGGGGTTCTAACCCTCTACTAATTTTGTGGAGCCAAGTGGCTGTATTCATTAGTAAAGAGGGAAGTCAGATTAGTTAGAACTGTCTATATGGTGGTTTCAATCATTAGCATCTCACAATTCCAGTAAGTGAGTTGTTGAGGCCTGAATAGGGCCTCCCTTTGAAAGCTTGAGGAGTCCAAGATGCAGGGCACAGTGTGTGTGTGTGTGTGTGTGTGTGTGTGTGTGTGTGTGTGTGTGTGTATGAAATGGAGGGGGTTAGAGGGCATCCCAGAGCACAAGGTCAGAATGCCCTCCCTTTAATTCTCCAAACCCAGCTCAGAGGAAGCACAGCTTATTAGTGCACCTCTCCGAGGCTCAGCTTCTGTATCTATGGAGATGATAACTCCTCCTCAGCTACCTCTCAGGATGCTTGTGAGGGTCACATATTATGATGGCCAAGACAGTGCTCTGGAAATAAAAAGTGCTCGCAAAAATCAGGCAGTATCATTTTTACTCTTGTTATTACCCTTCTTTAGCTATGAGTGGTCTCAGTGGAAGGAAGGAAGGAAACCCAGCACCTTGTTCTTTTCCTAAGCGTGGCTCTCAGAAACATTATGCAAGAGAACACTGAGCTGCAAAGTGTGAATAAGCATGGTTCCTGCCCTACCTATGTGTCAGAACACTGATCAGGATTAAATAATGATGTAAGGACTTTCAAAATTATAAGAATGCTTTTATTATTACATATTCTTCTCCTTCAAAGGTTAAAGGCACCCCTAAATAAGCTGAAAGAAATTTACCCAAACGCTGTGTGCTGCTATTTATGTTGGGGCCTTGCCTCATCTCGGGAGTGAAGAGTTCCCCTTGGCTGCGAAGTAGGAAAGGGTCTGGGTTGCAACTGGTCCCTCATGCATTTCAGGTGCTCTGTTTGAGTGAATGGCTCTAGCTTTCTATAACCACATGTAAGCTTCTGACCCCCTTGGCTCCAACTGGGCCCTGAGGATCAATTTCCATTCTGAAGAGGGATTGTTGTTGTTTTCTCTTTTGTACCTGGAGAAAAATAGTTACCACCATAGATTGCAAAGAAAACCTCCAATTCAGGAGCCTAGAATTGTTTAAGTGGACAGGGCTCAACCTTAAATTAATAATGACAAGTGAAAACATATACTTTTTGTTTCCGAAGAAAAGTAGAGGCAGTTTATAATATGGAACATACACTGAAGATATTAAATTGTAAATCAACAATTAGAGCCAAAAGATGGCAAGAAAGCAATATGCTAGTTAAAAGGCTTAGTATAGTTATTGTAATTGAGCATGAAATATAACTCTGAGCTTCCTGGCAGGCAGGGCAAAAAAGTAAATATGGTGACTTACATTATTTTCTTTTTCTGATTGAAGGGAGTGTTCTTATGGTTCAGATTTTATTTTTTTGGTACTAAATTTTTAAAAGGAATTTAATACTGAGTAACCTCAAAGGTAATGCATATGTCTTTAGCAAGAATTTCATATCCAACACAGGAAATTTCTTGTATTACCATCTTGTTCTCCTTTTTGAACTCCAGGCTCATATTAACAACTGACTAAATTTCTTCACCTAGATATTTTAGACTCACTTCAAACTTAACATATTCAAAACTGAACTTGTTAATTTCTTTCTGAAATTACTTCATCCCCCTGTGTTCATTATCTCAGTTATAGCCTCACATATACCAGCTGCCAGAAAAAAAAATCTCAGGTTGTCCCGGTGATTTCCCCCCCTACTTCCAACCCATACTCAATCAATTCTGAAGACTCTGTCTCTTCGATTTTCTTTTAATCCCTCTTCTCCTCTCCACCTTCATTACCACTATCTTTAGTCAAGGCCTCATCATCCCCCACCTGGGCTATTGCAAGGGCTTCTTAACTTGCCTTCACGTTCTTTCAACCTGTTCTCCACACTGCCTCTCTGATCTCTAAAAAATTGCAAATCCAACCTTTCTGAAAACCTCCCAAAGGCTACCCATCACCTTTATGGTGAAATCTAAACTCCTGACTTAGCAAAGTGAGATGTTTCACCTGCTTATTTTGCAGCCTTGTCTGCTGACACACCTCTTACAGACTTTCTACCACAAGCACACATCATTGTTCCTGCCTCTATGCTTTTCACAGGTTATTCCTTCACCCTCAAAACTCTTTCTCCTTTGCAAACCTGGTGTCCTTCATTCTGGGAAGCTTTTCTCTTTTCTCATCTTTTAACACCCACCACAGTTAGGTTCTTTTCTCCTGTATCCCTTGGCTCCTGGGTATGTCTCAGTTATACTTATTACATGGTACTGTAACTATTTTCTTAGTTTCTGTCTCCTCCAAGAATATTAACTCTTTAGAGACAGAAACGGAATCTCACTCATTCTAGGTATCCACCTCTACACATGTGCCGGACACCGTTGGAGTCTGATAAGTATTTGTTGCCAAATGAGGAGAAGAAAAGACAGAACACTGTTTACATGGCCCAGTGAGGTCTAGCATAGGATGTGCTGACTTGTGGATCGACAGAACTTTCCCTTTAAGATATCTGGAGGTGTGGGGTGGGTAGAGAGCGCTTTAGGTAAACCTCTCTGAAATCATCATTCTGATAGCAGACAGCAAATGGTTTTGCTCTTTACAAAGACTTCAGTGGCTGAATTTCTGTTCACCTGGCCAGGCAAATCTGTATACCTTGATGATCTGTGTGGGGGCAGATGGGTAGAGGCAATAGTATTACATTAAAAGAAGGAAGAAGCCTGGCCCAGGAAGTGTATTATAAGGGTATTTCCCTGCACACCCAGGGTTTCCCTCAATAAGTATTGCTTTTATCAAGGACCTGGCAGCACATCAATAAAGAATACCTTTGGGGTCAATGGTGGAGGGGGGGACATATATAATACTTTCAACAATAAAGATAAAAAAGAATCCCTTCCTTGCTCCACTCCACCAAGTCACCCCTGTCAGACCCCTGCTTCCAAGGTGGCCTCAGCATTGGCTGGAGATATTTTTCAGACAGGCCCCATTTCCTAGTCCTGCAGTAGCACTATTACAGCTCTAGATTGACAGAGCTCAGGCTCAATTTTGTTTTTATCTTTTACAAGCCATTTGGTGTAAAGGTTTGTGAGCACAAGCAGTTTCCAATGCCCCCAGGCCCAGTACCATGGAGTCACATTGCCCCACAGGCCCTGGAGGCCATTCTCTTCAAGTCACACAGGCTCCGCCTGAAGGCAGTTCTACTTGCATTCCAGTGAGAGGATAGGAGCTCCTGTGCAGGCTTGGCCCGTGCTGCATAGATTGATCAGTATTATGAATAATAGTATCCAGTAATCAATTTTAGAAGTAAATATTAAACAATCAAAGCCAAATAAAACTTTGCTGTTCTCAAAAGTCTTGCACTTGCATTCCTTTCTTTGATCTTACAATAGCTCTGTCAGGCACACAAACATGCTGTTCCCATTTTATAGATGTAGAAACAGAGACCCAGAGAAGGCAGGTGACTTCTGTAAGTTCACATAGATGGATTGCTGATAGTCGAGCCCAGGTTTTCTGGCTCCATTTTCATGCTGTGTTCCATTCCACCTTGCTTGCTCATCTCTGGTGTCAGCAGAAGTGGAAACTGAGAGAAGAACATTACGAGGATGATTACTAGGGCTCAACCATGTCCATGAAGATATTTGCAATTATGATTTTCTATACAAATGCTAAGTACAAGTTTAAGTAAGAGTTCCCATTTCTGAATTATTGGAGTACAGACACTGTGGCTGTATGTGAAAGCTCCAGTCCCATGTATCATGGAGGTTTCTGAAGTCCTTTATACCAACCTCAGCCTTTAGCAGCATTTCCGAGGAGTGCTGGAGCTGGCTCACACTCATTAGTGAGAACCAGTTGTGGGCATCTTTTCCTCACTTTCTGTTTTAGTGTTGTCACATTGGTAGCTTAAAATCAGACATGGTACAAGAATTTACATCATGGAAATCAGCAAATGCTACAGTTCAGGGCTCTTTTGTCCCAGAGAACCAGTGCACTACTGCTTACAGCTAACAGTGACTGGCACAAACTAAGAGTTCAGAAGTTCTCCTGTGTCATCTGCATGGGACCATCTTCAGTGTTGATTTTGCCTCTAACCACAAGTCATACCCCATTCACGGGGCCATGTCATTCCTTAAATAGGACACTCTTTTCATCAGAGCTTGCAAAATCAGATGGATGGGTTTCTACTAATAGCCTCTCATATCTGTGTAGTTTGCAAAGTGTTTTCACATCCCTCATCATTTTGAGCTATGTGTAGTCAGTGGGGCAGATCCCTTCCCCTCTTGATAGAAGATCTGAGAAGTGATATGACCATTCCCAGGGTCACAAGCCTAACAAGTGGCAAACAGGGGCTTGGACTGGGTCTTCCACATCCTTGTTCTGTGTTCCTTCCCTTTGTAGCAGGCCCCCTCCTTCATTTAGGACAAATGTAATACCTGCAGTTCAGGTTATTGTCTGAGCATAGAGAAGGGACACACCTACTAGTAGTATTTGTCTTAGCCCGACAGAAAAGGTCAGACATGTTAACTTAGGCATATCTACAAACAACTGTTAGCCCCACTTTACTGATCCCCTGCATAGAAAGGAGTCTACTTTCACTCCCTCACTGCCCTTGGTCGTCTCTTTGATTCCTTTAAAAACTTTTAGGGGGATGTTGTATCTTTGGGTCCTGCTGTATGTCCTTCCCTGAGCAGGAATTTGGAGCCTCCTGAGTGACCCACATTAATGTCCAGCTTCCCCTCTTGCACAATTCCTAGCTTCTCTATGGCCTGGCAATGGAATTATTGATTGTAAGCATTTCACAACACATTTTCAAAACATGCCGAAGGTCAAGAACTAGTGACTCATGGGCAGTCACATTTCTTTCTGCCTTGGCCCCTCAGTTACATTGGTGAAGTTGGTTACTGGAAGTCATTGAAGAAAAGGAGGTAAAAGTTAACTGTCAACCCTGGCCAGCAGGATTATTCAGTGACTTGAAAATATGACTTAATCTTCTATCTAGTGATTGATTTGCTGAATGACTTTGGTTTTTAATACCGAATCTCTTGAAAAATAAGATGCTAATGAAAGGATTTCAGTGCTGATTTTGCCACCAACTTGTCCCAGAGTCCCAGAGTCCCAGAGTCCCTGAGAGGTACTCAAGTGAAAAAAAAAAAAAGCTTAGGTGATATCTGGGGGGAACTTTGCTGCTCTGAAAGCCTCTGATTCTTTGTCAGTCCTTTAGACAATGAATACATTACCCCCATCCAGTATTGTAGGTAATTATTTACTTCTCTCCTGAAGCCAGCAAGAGCGCCCTGAGGTTCAGTGTAGGAGAATGCCTCAGAGTACAGTATCAGAGAGACTTCCAGACCAGGAGGCAAGGGTTCTGGGTAAACTTGAAACTTTGCTACCTATGCTTTGAATGCACTAAAAAATTGCTAGGACCTGTTAGAGCCTCAGTTTCCTTATCTGTAAAATGTAGACAGTGATAATTTATTTTAAAAGGATGTTTCAAAGATTAAGTGAACTTCATGTGTGTAATTTTTTTCTTTTTTTTTTTGGTACAAACATTAATGCATGGAAATTCCCACAGTATGCTTCTACACGGGCTAGTTGAAAGTTCTGGGGGAAAAGAATATTAAGGCGATATATATTTTTTCCTGAAATAATTTTTTCTCATCCCCCAAAATAATCTAAATTATATTATTAAAGTTTCCTACTGCCTTTTAAGGAAAAATCATGGAACTGGAAATTTGTTAATAGTTTTTTTTGTAGGTTTTTATACTTTACCCTAAAGGTCATTTAATTGTAGTACAATATAATCACAGAAATAAGAAGTGTGATGACATCCAAGTGATCAGAGGTGTCTGCACCTCCTTTACTCACCAGCATAGCCCCCTCCGCACATCTGTACTGCATATTCACCCTCCCCAAGCTGATGTGGGCAGCACTGCTCCCCTTACTCCTGGCTAGAAAAGGAGCCGGTGAAAAAGGAAGCAAATTCAGGTTTGTAAAGCACATCTGGGTGAGGAAAGGCAAGCACATGTTTCGACTTGACAAAAATTGCTTTTGTCCCTTCCCCACTTTGTCCTCTCATCAGTACATGTCAGAACGTATAGATACTTTGGCAGTCACTGCTCTCATCTCTTCACTCTACAAAAGAACAATCAAAGTCTGAGAGCTGAGAAATGACTTAGCCAGAGTCCCACAGGCAGCTTGGGCAGAATCAGAAATCAAGCATTGGTCTCTTGACTTCTCCTGTCTTCTCTATCCATTGCACTGGATGTGGAGAGAACCCAAAGATCCTAGTTGAATATCTTGGGTTTCTGGTTTTCAAGGACAGTTTTATGATTAGCAGCAATAATGCCTCAAAGGCTGTGGTAGCTAGCTTGACAGAACTCATAAAATAAACATTTATCACAGAACACATGTCACCAAACACCTGCAAGATCTGAGCATTGGCACCAAAGCTGCTTTCATTGTCAAAGAAAAGAGTGGAGACGGGGAAGAACTTGGCTGAACAAAGCTGGCAGACTTTTTACTAGAGGTAAATTTCTGGAGGAACAAGAACACATTTCTAAAGGATTTCAATTTTTTTAAAATGTGATCGGTTGAGTTTAGTAGTTAAAGAAGTAAAGGGCATCGAGTATTGCCTGGTGCATAAGGCCTTCTCCATACAGGTCCTTTCTATCTCCCTTGGTCACAGAGTTTTGAAAGCCTCAAGTTGGGCAGGCTCAGTGGTTACCCAGAGCAATGCCTGAAGTTGCTGGTTTCCAGCTAGACTCCCATATAAACATACCAAAGCACTTGTGGTTCTCACTGGAATCTCTTCTCATTAGTAGAACACCACCAAAGTCAAAGAGACACAGGCCATTTGGTTTTCAATCTGAGTCCATTCATTCAAAGTGGATTCTTTGGCCTATTTTGTAGGTCAATGTACATCAACAAAATGGTACAGTTGCCAAATACATGGTCACTTCCCTTTGGCTACCCATAATTTTTAAACTGTTGACATCTGTTCATTTATTTACTCACTAGTGGCCTGGTACACAAAATTCGTGCATGGGGCAGGTTGTCCCTCAGCTTGGCCTGCACCCTTTCCAATTTGAGACCCCTGGGGGATGTCCAACTGATGGTTTAGGCTCAATCCCACCACGGGGATCGGGCCTAACTGGCAGTTGGACATCCCACTCATAATCCGGGACTGTTGGCTCCTAACCACTTGCCTGTCTGCCTGCCTGATCACCCCTAACCACCTCTGCCTGCCGGCCTGATTGCTCCCAACTGCCCTCCCCTGCCAGCTGGGTTGGCCCTAACTACCTTCCCCTGCCAGCCTGGTTGCCCCTAACTGCCCTCCTCTGCAAGCCTGATCACCCCCAACTTCCTCTCCCCCGCCCGCCAGCCTGCTCACCTCCAACTGCCTTCCCCTGCCGGTGCTTCAGCCCCGCCACCATGGCTTTGTTTGGAAGGATGTCCAGAAGGTCTCCTGGAAGGTCTCTAGGTCTAATTAGCATATTACCCTTTTATTAGTATAGATTTAATAATAGTTATTGGGAGAGCATTGGACTAAAAACCTGTTGCACTTGCAGGTGTAACAAGCTTTCTGAACCTCAGTTTCTTCACTTGTAAGATACTATTTATTTTCTGCTTTGCAGACCTCACCTGCTTATTGTGAGCATCAAATGAATAAAACACTGTTTAAACTCTAAAGCCTGCAAGCATGTGAAGGATTGTTGCTACTGCTTTGTGCCCAATAGTGTGCTAAGCACAGGTGGGTTACAAAAAAATTGGAAAGTTGGTCCCTACACTCCGGGAACTTATAGCCCTGTGTTGGGAAACCAAGACACACCCAAATGAAACAGATATGTAGCACCTCGAGGCTGTGTCTACTATTTACATGATGGGTAAAGACTGAGAATTCTAGTAGTGCAGAGAAAGGAGAGATCATTAACAGGCTGGAGAAGTGAGGAATGGCTCCTGGAGGAGGTAAGGGTTGAGTTGGTAATGAAGTAGAGATTATAAAGTAGGTTTTTATGGGTGTGGCATAGCTGAGTCAACTAGTGGATGGTTTTCTTGGTAGATAATCTACTTGTCAAGCTGGAGTTATGGATTTAAGAATTTGAGGAGAAATATAAGAAAGAAAATGTCAGAGCAGTTTTTAGGCCAATGATAGGTTCTGATGAAATGATTTGGAAGGACTCATGTATAGGATGGACTGAGATGTAGGAGGAAAAAGGGCTGCTGCGGAGGAGTCCAAGCTGGGGGTAATGTGGTCCTGGCCCAGACCAATGGGAAAGATAAGGAAAAAAATACATGCAAGTGAAAGATAGTTCTGTTTGTAGGGAGTGAACAAGTTTTATTAACCCTTGATCCACTATTGGTATCTAAACTTTGAAATTTAAGTTAAATTGAGCAACGAAGGAAAAAATAGGGGTCATCTTTCTATGCATATTGAAGCATTTGAGAAAACCCAAATTGATCTCACAGAGTCTATTTTTCAATAAAAAAGGAATTGAAGTTGCTGGCTGACCCATAAAATGAGGGTTTTCAGAGTAGGACAAAACCATAAAGGTTACCTGGTCACATGAATGACCAATTTGAGAA